GTAACATTTCCGTCACATGCTTGAGGTATTCGGCCAATCACAACGCACTGGATAGCTGGCCAATCACAGCAAACCTTGCTTTTCAGACAGATGAGCTTTGTAAACGTTTCAGAAAGGCGGGCATAGAGGAGCAACAATAATGTACATTATGTGGAAAATAATGTTCTTTAAACCACATAAACACATTGCATTACACCAAATACACCAAATAATGTTCTTTTTAGCAGCATCATATGACCCCTTTAAGCAAAATTATGTCAGACTCAGACACCTTGTAAAGAACCTAATGAAGATTAAAAAACATCATCTTCAGTCATCTGACAGGACACTTTTAAGACTTATTTTTTCGTATATTATTCATTAAAGTGCCCCTATTATGGATTTTTGAAAATTACCATTCATGCAGTGAGTAACACAGCTCTAAGTGAATGAAAACATCCTGCAAAGTTTTAAATCTGAAAGTGCACCGTGTATAAAGTTATTCCCTGCGTCTCAATGTTCATACTATCCATCGTAAATAGTATGTGAGATTAGAATAAGTGTGTCCCAAAGCCAGTGCCGTTGTTAGGGGGGTGCAACTGGTGCGGTCGCACCGGGCCCTGAAACGGATATCCCCCCCCCCCTAATGGCTAATATTGCCCACAATCCATTGCGCTTTGGTGAAGGATTCTGTCCAGAACTACAAACACGAATAATACGCGTTAAAAACTACAAACATAGCGGATGTTCGCGACCGGCGGTTAGGTAGAGAAGCTTAGAAAAAAGGGTTTGAGTTACTAATATTCAACATTTAACCTGGTTGACGTGATAGTATGTCCCAAAGCTTGCCTAATCTTCTACTACACACTCAAAAGTGTGTACTTTTTCTTCACCAAAAGAGTACATAATTTAAGGGCATAGTATAAGTAGGTACATTGAGACGCAGCAATTGTCTCTCAAAAGAAAGAGTCGACTCTGAATCATCGAAACTAAGTGTCACGCAAAGGAGGGGTTTGGAAAAATGAATCGTTGAGCGAATCGTTTCGGAGTCATTGAGCAATTAAGGTAAAAATAAATGCATATTATAAGACAATGAAAGTGTTTTTTGACCTTGCATGCATGTCAACCTGTTGTTGGGGACTCACAAACCAAAATATGAACCTTTCATTACCCATAACAGGGGCAGTTTAATCCTAGTAGTAGGGGAATAAAGATTTTGAGACTTTAATACAATCTTACCTTAGTTTCTCCAGTTTACAGTGAGGATCCTTCAGTCCATCAGAGAGCAGCTTCACTCCTGTGTCTTGTAGGTTATTTCTTGCAAGAACCAGATATCTCAGGTGTGAGAGGTCTGATCTCAGAGCTGAAGCCAGAGCAGCACAACCTTCATCTGTGATTCCACAATAACTCAACCTGTAGAGAACAATGACACTCTTCAGTCTCTCAGTTCAGGATCTACAGCTCAGAGAAGCAGCAACTTCACAATCAGAAAGAGAGACTTAAAGGAATAGTTCAGCCAAAAATAATTTACTCACTCTTATGTCGTTCCAAACCTGTATAAGTTTCTTTCTTATGTTGAACACAAAAGAAGATATTTAACTTATACAGGTTCGGAATGACATGAGGATGAGTAAATGATGACAAAATGTTCAGTTTTGGGTGAATTATTCCTTTAATCCACAACACGATTAACAGGTCCCGTCTTAGGTTCAGACTTGCTTCTACATGGGTATTGGAGTTAAATTCAATTTTACCATATAAAATTTCATAATCTTAAAATCTTTTTATCATCCAATCACATGTATACTATTATAAATTAAGTAAAGTTATGTCAGACTCAGACACCTTGTAAAGAACCTAATGAAGATTAAAAAACATCATCTTCAGTCACCTGACAGGACACTTTTAAGACTCTTTTTGTTTTTGTTTTAATTTTGAAAATCATTCATTAGTAGTAGTAGTAGTAGTATCATTCATCCTAGTAGTAGGAGAATAACAATTTTGACACATTTATACAATCTTACATCAGTGTCTCCAGTTTACAGTGAGGATCCTTCAGTCCATCAGAGAGCAGATTCACTCCCGAGTCTCCAAGTTCATTCAATGACAGATCCAGTTTTCTCAGGTGTGAGGGGTTTGATCTCAGAGCTGAAGCCAGAGCAGCACAACCTTCATCTGTGACTCCACAATCATACAACCTGAAGAGATTAAAGAACATGAATGATGAACTGACACCAGACGCAATTAAAGAAACAATTTGAAATCTACAAATGTAATTCATACAGACAGTAAAAAATACATGTAAACATCATTAGAGGACACACAGACACTGTTAAAGTTGCTGTTTGCTGTCAGTTTTGATCCCTTTATCACGTCTCACACACTGACCTCTGCAATCATCAGCTCTCACACAGACACAAAAGTCCGCATCAGCTGCTTTAGTAAGTGTGCAGTTTCACACAGTCACACATCTCTTCTGGGGCCTCATGTATAAAACTTTGTGTAGATTTCATCCTTAAAGTGTGCAAAAGATAGATTTTGCTTTTTCACAAAAAGCAAAACTGACAAAGATCTGTTTTCAGTATTACCTATAAGCATTATTCTCACCACACCATTGGCAACAGGGACGTGCCAGAGTTTTAATTCGCACTAAAAGCAATCTGTAATGTCTATGCTGCTTTAGATCCAGTCCGAGGTTTCCATTTCTTGTTCGCACCTTTGCCATGCTCTCTTCTCACCATTGTGGCGACTTTCATTTTAGATTGCAGTCTATGGTGAATCTGCAGAAACTCCTCTACAGGGCTTTTTATTTGTTTGTTTTATTGATAATGTTTAGCTCCTTTTCTGCTGATTTAAATTGTTGTCTGTGTTACAGAATAGACAAGCGGACTAGTGAAGTGACCAGTGCTGCATTTTCAATTGTATATTAAAACATTTCTGCCTTTCATGATTAAATAAACATCTGCAGAATTGGTGTGGAAGCAAGCAAAAAATATAGACAAATATATTGGTGTGTATTGTCATTATGGGCTGTGAATGATAGACTTACACAAGCTTGTTAATACAGGACATGTCCACACAGAACTCAGACAACACTTTAAGGGCACAAAAATGCACTAATCTTTTGCAATAGACATGTATTCCCATCAAAATGAATGGAGTAATTTTTAAATGGTATGTCATGTTTATGTCATAACAGTCTAAAGCAGTGATTCCCAAGCAGGGGTACTCAAAATAGTTATAATAAAGACCAGGGTCGAAAATTAGCGAGGGCAAAAATGCCACCAAAATAAATGACTCATAAAGACAGTGATGTGCTGCCAACTACTGGCAAATATTAGCCCTTAATGGAAAAAGGTGATCCCGAAACATGCGAAACATACATTAAATCTAAATGTGTATATCAAATGGAAAACAGAGTTTAAAATTATTCTGTTTCTTTCAATACTTCAATCACACAGGTATAAGAGCATGTGGCAGCTTGCGTGGCAGTGCACACATTTTCACATCAAGTTTGCTTCTTATAAATCCCATCATGAACATGTAACATTTTTGTGCATTATTACATGAGGCCACAGGTCTTGACAGTGATTTTGTGAACGTTTCTCCTTTTGATCTTTTGGTAAAAAGCACATGCTAAAATCGTGAATGTGATCATGTTTATCAGTGTGTCAGTGTGACTTACAGAACTGATCTGGATTCTTTAACCACAGGCAGCAGCTTCCGAAGAACTTCATCTGCTGTATTTTGGGATCCAGTAAACTTTTTTAGAACAAAAACATCCATCTCCTGCTCTGATGTCAGCAACACATAAACCAGAGCTGACCACTGTGAAGAGGAGAGTTTGATTTCTTTAATTTTTTTAGATGTCAAATAATCTTGGATCTCCTGCATCAGTGAAAGATCACCCAGTTCATTCAGACAGTGGAACAGATTGATGGATCTCTCTGGAGAGTCATTCCGCCTGATCTTCTCTTTGATGTACTGAATTGTTTCCTCTTTGTTGTAGGAGCAGCTTCTTGTCTGTGTCAGTAGTTCTCGTAAGAGAGTCTGATTGGACTCCAATGATAGACCCAGAAGAAAACGCAGGAAAAGATCCAGATGTCCATTCTTACTCTGTAAAGCTTCATCCACAGCTCTCTGATGCAGCTCAGATAATAAAACATATTCCCTCAGGTTTAAAATCTTAGACAATAAACTTTCTTTTGTTTGTATGTTCTTGTTGGTAAAGCAGAAGTGCGCATATAGAGCTGCTAGATGTTCCTGGATGGTCAGATGAACAAAGCTGAAGACTTTCCCCTGAAACAAGCCAAACTCCTCTCTGAAGATCTGAGTGCACAATCCTGAGTACACTGATGCTTCTGTCTCATCAATGCCACACTCTCTCAGGTCTTCCTCATAGAAGATCAGGCTGCCTTTCACAAGCTGCTGAAAAGCCAGTTTCCCCAGTTTGAGAATCATGTCTTTATCTTTGACTTTCTTCTCATAGTCCTTCTCATGTTTGATGTTGGTCTGAATGATCAGGAAGTGTGTGTACATTTGAGTGAGAGTCTTGGGAATCTCTCCACTCTCTGCTCGACTCAACATCTTCTCTAGAACAGCGGCGGATATCCAGCAGAACACTGGGATGTGGCACATGATGTGGAGGCTCCTTGATGACTTCAGGTGTGAGATGATTCTCTCGGTCAGACTCTGATCACTGATTCTCTTCCTGAAGTATTCCTCCTTCTGTGGATCATTGAAGCCTCGTACCTCTGTCACTCGATGGACACACTCAGAGGGAATGAGATCAGCTGCTGCTGGTCTGGAGGTGATCCAGATGAGAGCAGAGGGAAGCAGATTCCCCATAATGAGGTTCGTCAGCAGCACGTCCACTGAGACTGATTCACTCTCATCACACAACCTCACATTGCTCTGAAAATCCAGAGACAGACGACACTCATCCAGACCATCAAAGATGAACAACACTTTATATTCACCACTGGATATTTCCATTTGTTTTGTTTCAGGAAAAAAGACAAGAAGAAGATCTGAAAGTCTGAGTGTTTTGTCCATCATCAAGTTGAGCTCTCTGAAAGGAAGTGGAAATATGAGCTGGATATCCTGAACTGCATTTGATGGCTGTGTCCTCTGTTGCTGCTCTCCTGGATTGTGTCTCAATCTGTCTCACCTCATGCTCATTACTGATCTCTCCACTCTCACTCTCTGTGATGTAGAGCTCTGTGTAGATCTCATTCAGGAGTGTTGGGTTTCCCTGCGTTGCTGTTCCTTCATACAGACACTCGAACTTCTTCAGCAGATTTGATTTGAATGTGCTTTGGTCCAGTTGATAGTCAAAAATGGAAAATAAAATAACAGATTATAACATTAAAGAAGTAAAAGTGACAGTAAAGCAAATAAACAAGCGTTAATCTATTAATCTAAACCATGTCTACACCAGACATGGCAAAAGCAAATAGAACTCATTATTATTACATTTACATTTACATTTAGTAAACACTTTTATCCAAAGCGACTTACAAATGAGGACAATGGAAGCAATCAAAATCAACAAAAGAGCAATGATATGCAAGTGTTATAACAAGTCTCAGTTAGCTTAATGCAGTACACGTAGCAAGTTTCTTTTTTAAATCATATAATAAATAAAAAGAAAACAGATAGAATAGAAAAAGAATAGAGCAAGCTAGTGTTAGAGGCCTTTTTTCCTTTTGTTAATCAGAAGAAATCAGAAGTCAGAAAGTCAGAATTATAATTGTATAATAAATAAAAAGAAAACAAATAGATAGAATGCAAAAAGATTAGAGAAGCAAGTGTTAGTTAATTTTTTTTTAAAGAAAACAAGCAGTGAATAAATAGAGTGCAAGTCTAAACGGGGCATTTTTTTTTGTAAAGAATATAATTAGAATAGAGAGTGCTAGAGTTAGAGGGTCAAATAAAGATGGAAGAGATGTGTTTTTAGCCGATTCTTGAAGATGGCTAAGGACTCAGCTGCTTGGACTGAGTTGGGCAGGTCATTCCACCAGGAGGGAACATTTAATTTAAAAGTCAGAGAAAGTGATTTTGTGCCTCTTTGGGATGGCACAATAAAGCACCGTTCACTTGCAGAATGCAAGCTTCTAGAGGGCACATAAGTCTGAAGTAATGAATTTA